TATTTTTTTTGTTAAGGTAGATCAAATTTTGAAACCTATATGTATGTACGAGTACACTTATGGAAAATGCTGTGCTCACCTTTAATTTAAAAGCATACACATATATGTCGGCGTCGAATAACAAAGCTATTCAAGATTACCCGCACATTTTTGAGTAACGTTATCGTACCACTCCCCGAGTCAGGCGAGGTGGGGACGGACCGACCGTCGCCAATAAAAAGGAGCACGCAGTGCAGACAGACACAGTTTCATCGAGGCGCTCGCTCCGTCGACACCTAAATTGTGACACGGTTCACACCTGAGTCGTAATAATTGTTTATTTAGATCTTGTTGTAATTATTATTTGCTGTGTATTATTTGAATATAAATTATAATTATTTTATTCAATTATTTTATTTTATTGATTTGCGACTTTAATAGTGCTAATTATTAAAAGTGAAATCAATCAATCAACCAAAGTCGGAAATGACGGAAGAAGGGTCGAAAACTGGCGTGGAACCTCAGGGTTATCGTCCACCGTCACCGGTGTTACAACAGACGATAATTCCCTCCGACATCAGAAGTGGGATCAACAATGGGGCCTCTTCAGCTCCATTTGCACACACTCAAGAAGGTGGCGATAACTATGACGCTAACCAGGCACTCTCTGCGTTGGCTAGTATCATAGAAAGCCTGACCCGGCAGCAGCAAGCAAGTATGCAGGCTAATCACGAGATTTTCGCAGATTTACTAAACCGGGCTGTGGCTCCAACAAAACGACCAAAACTTAGCGATATTTATATCGCGCCGTTCGATCCTAACGGTGATGTACCAGTACGAGATTGGTGTGAGCACGTGGACAGGGCAAAAACCCATTGGCAACTGACTGATTACGAAGTCTGTACAAAAATAGCTGGCTTATTACAAGGTCGGGCCAAAAGTCTTGGCGATACATGGTTAGTAAAATCACCTGTTTGGTTCGACATGCGAGAAGCATTAATACAGACCTTTGAGCCCGAAGCACGATATTCAACGACATAGTGAAGTTGCGGTGTTTTAAATTTGACATGTCAAACCCAGCTGAATCAATCACTAGGGCTTGGAATATCTGGAAGCGAATCATTAGTGGTGACAAGGATAAAGACGCTGTAGAAGCTGTAATTGGCTGCATAGACAATGAGTTTTTCGGTTACGTCTATTATCTAGTAAATGTTCTTCGGTACCTGAACTAATTTCTGTAGCAGCTACACTCAGACAGCGAGAACCTCGACAAGGTGAACCACCTGCTAAGCGACCAAGACTGAAAAACAATGGAGATGACAATACGCTTTGTTTTAAATGTGGGAAACCTGGACATGTGCAAGCACATTGCGATAAGGGTAACGAAAAGATGACTGACCCTAAGCCATTGCTGAGTACAAGTAACATAGACAAATCATTGAACCAAACAGAACGCTATAAGCCCAAATGTAGCTACTGTGATAAAACTGGTCATTATGAATCCAACTGTTTCAAAAAAATGAGCGATGAAGCCGAAAAATTAATCTAGCTGGAGAACAAGAAAAAATACTAACACCGATGATCATTAAAATTAATAATCACCGATTCACCACATTGTATGATTGTGGTGCTGCACGCTCTTTAATAAGGCGTTCGATCAGTCAGTCTATACCCGGAAAACGTGAAGATTGTAATTTGATGCTGAAGGGTATTGGTAGTGAAAGTATGCCACTCTTATCTTGCCAAAGAATTAACGTTATGTGTGACATAGATGGCATTTTCCTAGAAATTGCATTCCACATCGTAGAAGACCACGAAATACCTTGTGGGCTTTTGATAGGAGCAGAAATAGTGAGAGGTACAGACCTCTCTATCCTCATTACTGAAAGAGCAGCCACCATGATAAGACAGTCGAGTATCTCCAACGTCAGTACAACCGAAGATCCCTTAGCAAACTTGGACACTGCTTTGGCCCATGCGGAGGAAATATGTACAGTTCGTCAGAGTCCAAAGAAGGTAGATGCCTTAGAAAAAACACCAGTACCTACAAACGTGAAACAGGTACGTCAATTTTGTGGTTTAGCTGGTTACTTTAGACGTTTTATACCTTCGTTCTCTGAACGATTGATTCCACTGTACAACCTAAAAAGGACGCAAAATTTCAATGGACCGCTGAATGCGAAAGTGTCAGACTCGATATAATTCGTCGATTAACTTCGGCGCCAGTTCTAATAATTTTTCAAGAAGGACTTCCCATCGAACTACACACGGACGCAAGTAGCGCTGGATTGGGAGCCGTCCTCATGCAAATACAGGACAGCCGACAGCATGTGATTGCCTACATGAGTATGAGAACCACCAAACCAGAGAGCCATTACCACTCTTATGAGTTGGAAACTCTTGCCATAGTAAGAGCAATAAAACACTTCCGGCAGTACCTCTACGGTAGATCTTTTAAAATTGTTACTGATTGCAATACCGTAAAGTCGTCGTCAAGTAAACATGAACTCTTACCGAGAATTCATAGATGGTGGTCGTTTCTTCAGCATTACGATTTTAAAATAGAATACCGCCAAGGATGTCGAATGAAACATGCAGATTTTTTTTGCTGTAACCCTGTAGCATGCATTAATCTGGCTCAAAACATCGATGCATGGTTAAGGGTTGAGCAACGGCGTGATGAAGAGTTGGCTCGAATTATAAATAAATTAGAACACAAGGAGGAAATGAGTGAGTACCGCATGAATAATCTTGTTTTGGAGCGCTATCACGATGAAGAAGAACCTGGATGCAAAAAATGGTAAAAGATTGTCCCAAAATCATACCAATGGAGTGTTATTAATGCTTATCGTACCCCTCTAAAACATTTTGGATGGGAAAAGACTCTTAGTAAAATTCGAGAATGCTTCTGGTTTCCCGAAATGTCCGCGACGATAAGACGATTTATAGACAACTGCGTCATATGCAAAACCAGTAAAGGTCCTTCTGGAGCTAAGCAGGTAGAAATGTATCCTATAGAGAAGAAATCCGTTCCTTTTGACACTATACACATAGATATGACTGGACATCTCACCAGAAGGAACAACAAACATGAATACGTTGTGGTTATTATTGACGCCTATACTAAGTTTGTCACCTTGACCTATGCGAGTAATAAGACTGCCAATTCAATGCTGCGTCCACTCAAGCATATTGTATCTCTGTTTGGAGCTCCAAGACAAAGCATAAGTGATCAAGACACTGCCTTTAAAGCTGAATTTGAAGATTTTTGTAAAAATCATAACATTTACCAGCATTTCATAGCTCCAGGATGTAGTCGAGCCAATGGACAGGTGGAACGTATGATGGCCGTTGTAAAAAATGGATTAACTGTAATTCGTAATTACGAAACTCAAGACCGGAAGAAGGGTCTGGAAGCACTTCAGTTGGCAATGAACTGTACCAAGAATAAGACAACGAATGTAAGTCCAATCAAAGCTCTCACCGGAAGACAATGTGCTGTACCACCAGATTTAATATCCTTGATCGACGAAGAAGGGACAGTAAGTCGAGATCAACTAGACAGCAACATACAAAAGAAAATTGAGATACGAGGAAAAGAAGACGAGGCAAGATTTGATCAGGGTAGAGCCAAAGTCAAAAGATTCCAAAAGGAAGACATCGTCTTATTTAAGGCTAACCCTAGGTCCCAAATTGGACTTGACCTGAAATACCCAGATGCTTATGTGATTTGGAAAATACTACAAAACGATCGCTATCAAGTGAAGAAGATAACGGGACGTGGACGCCCGAAAAAAGTAGCTCATGACCAACTTCGGATTGCACCCAAACCAAACGAATGCATAACTCAGGACGACATGTCGGCGCAAGATGCTACTAACGTGACATCAGCAACAAATGAAGTCTAGTGTGGCACTTCCGATCCAGTTGAAGTTTAGGAAGAACTTATGCAGAAATAAGGGTAATCAAAACCATTTCAATATTTTTCCTTTTATGCATGTTACCTTCGTGAGCTCCTTACTGCTGCAGCGAAAGACGTAAGTCGAGGACAGGGGCCTCCTTACTCTTTCAATAAAATGTTGTCTTCGTGAGCTCCTTACTGCTGTAGTGAAAGACGTAAGTCGAGGACAGGGGCCTCCTTACTCTTTCAATAAAATGTTGTCTTCGTGAGCTCCTTACTGCTGTAATGAAAGACGTAAGTCGAGGACAGGGGCCTCCTTACTCTTTCAATAAAATGTTGGCTTCGTGAGCTCCTTACTGCTGTAGTGAAAGATGTAAGTAGAGGACAGGGGCCTCCTTACTTTCGCAATAGTTTATGTACATTGAGATCAGAGGTAAAGAGAATTCTCTTTGCATGTCTATACTGGCGACTAGAATCTGAGTAGTATTACATTATACGGCGCATTAACTTTTTCTTGTAGGTCGGAGGCGACCTTTCTGCAGAATGGCCGTGTCGGCGTCGAATAACAAAGCTATTCAAGATTACCCGCACATTTTTGAGTAACGTCATCGTACCACTCCCCGAGTCAGGCGAGGTGGGGACGGACCGACCGCCGCCAATAAAAAGGAGCACGCAGTGCAGACAGACACAGTTTCATCGAGGCGCTCGCTCCGTCGACACCTAAATTGTGACACGGTTCACACCTGAGTCGTAATAATTGTTTATTTAGATCTTGTTGTAATTATTATTTGCTGTGTATTATTTGAATATAAATTATAATTATTTTATTCAATTATTTTATTTTATTGATTTGCGACTTTAATAGTGCTAATTATTAAAAGTGAAATTATTAAAAGTGAAAGTGTTACAACAGACGATAATTTCCTCCGACATATATTTTACTTGTATGAATGTTTTCTTGTGAAATATCTAGTATGTATTTTAGTTGGTAAGCCTTATGTTAAATAAATAAAAATAAATAAATAAAATAAAATTGGTTTGAGAAAGATGGATGCGTGTGTCTATTCTAACTTATGAACTATTTGAGCGAACGATGCATGAATTAGTTGGCTGAAGAGGAATGGAACTTTGTGAGAGGCTGAACGCTTTTACACAAATTGCTCGGATAGCTTCTAACAAGATCTTGCTTGCAGATGAAGATACTGAAGACGACCCTGAACAAACGGGGTCCTCTACTGCGGTCGACCCGTCGCTTCTGCCAGCGGACGAAGTGGAGGTCGAGGTGCTGACCTCTCCCATCGCGGGTCCTAGCGGGGCCACTCAAAGAGTTGATGTCGAGGACGACACCTCGCCAGGAGAGGCCGTGTAAGGAGAATCCTCTCTTACGTCAGTAACTACCCCACCTCGCCTATAAAAACAAGGAGCTGCAGATAGAACGACCATTCGTTGCTCGACGCTCGGACTGGACGGACGTGTGAATCATCGGCTAGTCGTAAGGTTACGTAAGCCATTTGAGTTTAGTTTGTGGAAAAAGTGATAAAGTGCGTTTGTGTGTTTCATATAGTGGATTTTAAGTTCTAGTGAACTGTAAGTAAATTTTGCTGATTGTAATTTGAGTCAATTGTGTTTACGAAGTAAAAAATGTTTTTTTTTGTTGTGAATCGTTTTTTAAACAAATTTCCACTTCTGAAGCTTATAATACATTAAAAAGAGACTACAGAAATAAGAGTCAGATAAACACAAGATTCCAGACTGTGCGAACCCTCGCTCAGCAATTTCGGAATGCTCCTTCAGCAATTTTTAAAAACTAAGCAATGTTTTTGCGCGTAATCAAGGATTGGGAGATTTGATTTTGGTCGTAATTCTTTCTTTTCTTTCTTTTCTTTCTTTTCTTTCTTTTCTTTCTTTTCTTTCTTTTCTTTCTTTTCTTTCTTTTCTTTCCTTTCAAAAAGACAACTCCCGCACTAGGAATAAATCCTGTGTCGCGGGGGACTTTACAAACATACATGAAACGGACACAAAGTACACCCAGACTCAGAACAACAATGTGTGGATCACACAAAGTGTTATTCCATGTGGGGTTTGAACCCACAACACTCGGCGCAATAGGAAGCGGCGTGGCGACCGCTTAAACCATTACGCCATCCGTGCAGTCATTAATTGGTAAGAAATTACGCAGCCTTCTCAGAGATCCGGCAGAAGCAAAAAGTTTTTTACTTACTTCTTGTAATTGCGGACCCCAGGACAAGTTTTTATCGAAGTTGTAGTGTGTTAGGTAGGAGTAAAAATGTTCACATACCACAAGTCCAAGAAAAGGTCCAGTACAGGTCACAATGTATGTTTGTATATATGTGGTGTGAGCCCCACAAAGTGAATTCCCAGATTTTTAATGATGTTCGAGATCGGAACTAAGGCTCCATCGCAGAATATTTGGGGCTGATGTGACCAATCGACTTTAGATAAAGCCCTAGTGCCACCGATTATGATTGCTGTTTTAGTTGGATGCACTATTAACCCGTGTTGCCTGCTCCACGTACAAATCTGCTATATGTCCCGGTTAATAATTGAGATCGCTGCTCCTAGTTGTTCCACGGGTGCTTGAGCATAGATCTGCAAATTATTTGCATAAAGGTGGTAAGAGGAAGCTAAGTTATTGGAAATAGAGTTTATAAAAACCGCGAAGAGCAAAGTAGATAAAACGCCACCCTGTGGTACGCCGGTAGTCGTAGTGCACCAGCCAGAGAGTCTTTCCTTGATTCGAATACGCTGCCGGTGCCCGAACAGGTAATTACGAAACTAGTCAACAACCGTCCGAGATATGTTAAAAGAGCACATCATAGCAAGCAAGAAGTCAAAGTCAACAGTATTACTAAAATCTAGCAGCGCCAGCACCGCTACTTTGCCATCCTCAAAGCTTAACCCTATATCGTCCGTGATATGAACTAGTGCGGTGGTGGTACTATGTCCAGGACGAAAACCAGATTGGAGGGGATTTATGAGGATTTTTTTTTATACAGATAGGGATTAATTTTGTTGTAAAAAAGACGTTCGAGAGTTTTAGATAGGAAGGGTAGGATAGAAAGCGGACGATAATCGGAGAAACTGGATGGATTTGATTTCTTTGGTAATGGAGTTACTAATGCTTTTTCCAAGCTGTTGACAGTTGCCGGTTGTTATGAAGAATTTGAATATGTGAACAAGGGCAGGAATGATTTCCTCTAGGATAGACAGGATCATATCACGACTGATACCATCACTACCAACTGCGTTGGAGTTAATTGAGAGTATGCTCTTCCTAACATCACAATCGGAAAATTGACTAAAGACTAATGTTGGAGAGTCTGGAGTTGGGAGAGAGAAAAGAAATTGTATAGTGTTATTTTTTACTGTCCCGTCAAAATGAGAGGACGTGGTGAAGTGTTGATTCATCAATTCGATATTTACGTTTTTGGAAACGGTGTGTTGCCGTGACTTCCCAACTCCAAGAGATCGAAGAAACTGCCAGACCTTGGCTTTATCCCCGTGTTCGACAGAGGTATGGATGAATTAGCGTTGTGCATTCCTATACACCTTATTGCAACGATTCCAAATTGCGACGTATTTCTCCTAATTTTGCACAAGTTAGACAGCGCTTAAATCCAGACTTAGCCACGGATTTTTTAGACAAGACCAGCTTTATATCGGCAGTAAGCCAAGGAGATGGCAGATACTTGATTTTTATTTTGCGCAGTGGATCGTGTATGTTGTATAGACTGATCAGTGTGTCTTTTTGGTCAATGGAACCCAATTCATATAAACGACCCCAGTCAATACTGCTTGCATCCATGCAGAGATTGGTTACATTCGTGGCTTTAAAAGGATTGTAGGTTTCATTTTTGGTGTACAGATTTTATAGGATAGAAAATGAAGATTGTGATAAGAAAAAGCATAAAATTACCCGTGACAGGCTGCACGTTCAGGTGAAGAAACAGCGATGACGTCAATGAGTGAAGGGGTACAGTTTGGGAAGTGATGTGTGGCACTTAGAGGAAGAATGTAGAGATTGTTGGATTCTAATGTACGAGTATCACGAAAGGAAGAGGAGCGGAAATCGTTTTAAGAAGACAAGTGTTAAAGTCTCTAAGAGGATGGTATGACTATACGAAGGAGTAAGAGATTCTAGGAGATGGTCTAAGGAAGAGAAAAAGTCAATGTGAGAAGAGGGACAGTAATAAGTACCGAGAAGTATTTTGTTATGATGGAGTTCAACCTCCACGAAAAGGTTCTCGCCAGCATTCAGAGGTGGTGGTTGTGTAGACATACTCAGAATTGAATGTGAAATATGAGCACTAAGATAGATGGCTACATCTCGACCACCACCCCACGTGCGGTCATTCCGAATGAGTTCGAAGCCAGGTAAGGAGTAGAAAGCAGAGGGAAGACAGGGCTTTAACCATGTTTCGGAGACACAGATGGCATGGATGTTCGTACAATAAAAGGAAGCCAACATAGAAAATGAGCCGGAATACTCTGGGCATTGATGTGAACAACATTAAAGTTACCCGATACATCTGAGAACTGACTAGGTAATAAGTCGCTCAGAAAGCGGACACTCACAAACTCTCGTCGCCACTACCAACTGATAAAAAGTCCTCAGAATCTGTATCAACTCATTTTATGATTTTAATGTTAAACATCCCATTTTATTGTATAGTTCCCATATCATTTGCAAGTTGTTATTTAACATTTACCATGCAAGGTTTTTACATCCTGGACCTCAACTACTACTGGCCACGATTCGTCATCACCTCTATCCCATTGGTGGTAGAAACTTAGCTAGAAAGGTCACACATCAGTGCGTAAAGTGCTGTAGATTTAAGGCTAAAACTATTCAACCTATGATGGGTAACCTTCCAGAGTCAAGGTTGCATTTGGAATTTCTATTCTTGGATACAGGGATCGACTATGTCGGTCCAATCATGATAGCTGACCGCAGAGCAGAGGATGTCGGCTCGTTAAAAGCTTTACATGTGTGTTTGTGTGTTTGGCAGCTCTGTACCGCTTTATTAAACGAAACCACGTAGCACCAGGGACTTTCTTTCTAGGGTATCCCCGGCTATTAGTACCCGAGACGGCGTGCGGTTTTAGTCGGTTCGTGTCCGACATGCCACCGATGGGTGGTATCTGGTATCCGAGGGGATTTCCGCACGGAAAAAAAAAGGGGGAAACCACGTAACGTCTTTTCAGATAACGGCACAACGTTTGTTGGTGCTTTCAACGAGTTGGCCAAGCTTCTTTTACAGGATCTGAATTTTAGCGTAGTTGATCCTGGTATCAACTTTTCCTTCATACGCGCGTACACTCCACACTTCGGCAGATTATGGGAATCTGCAGTTAAATTTGTCAAACATCACCTTAGACGCATTTTAGGCTTGACAAATTTGACCTTCAAAGAGATGGCAACCTGTTTAGTTCAGATTGAGGCTATCTTGAACTCAAGACCTCTCACTCCACTTTTTAATGATCCTTCAGACCTCACCCCATGGACTCCTGCCGATTTTCCTTATTGGACGGTCTCTTGTAATGTTGCCTCATCCACAAATCCAGTCTACCAACATCAACAACTTGCAGCGATTTCGCCGCATTCAATACTTGAACCAGCATTTCTGGGTTCGGTTCACCCACGAATACGTTTTGTGGCTTCAAGAGCGAACTAAACCAAGTAAGTTACATTGTAAAGTTAAGCAATCCTAGCCAATATATGGATGGATGATCATTCTTAACACATTGAGAGAGTGAGAGAGCTTTTCGTGCCTTAAGCCCTCGGTCCCGGTTGCTTTACGAACATCCTGTGGCAATCGTTACAAATAGTTGGAGCCCTTAAAAAACAATAGCCTATCCGGTATCACCTGGTACCTACTAGGGTTGTGGGGATCTGAAGGCAGTCGCTCCACGTAAAAAAATGAAAGTTCAGCCGTATCGCAGCAGACTGAAAGCCGTCTACCTACTTTGGGTAAAGGCTCGGAGAATGATGTTAGAAATCGAAATACTAACATTGATGTTATTTTATTCAAAAGATATGAGCGTTTTTCATGAAACTTGTCAGTTTTAGATTAGTCAGTAGTAGATTATTAAGTATTTTTAGAATTATAGTTAGTCCACAAAGTGGTAATATTTTATATTTACAACAAGTTGATAATGCGATTATGGTTTGTGTCAGTATTATAAAGGAAAAAATCTGTGCATAGTTTTTTTACTTACACTACAATCTAATAAAACGCACGGATAGTAGCTTGAAACAGACTGACGTTTATTTTAGAACAAAAGTGTACATAGAACCATAGACCATAACCATAGAAAATGTGTAAGTGAACATAGCTTAAACTAAAT